ATGTATTAGTGGGTCTCTTCTCCTTTAATTATAATCTTTAGTTCTTTCTGATTTTTTCTAGCATCCAGCTTCAAAGTCTCCTCTTATCTTGTTTTTCTCTAATCCACATTTTCCCATGAGAAGAGTTCTTACACTTAGATTCAAAATCTTATTTCCAATCCATCTGGCCCCTTAGTCCATTTGTGACTTTCCAAAATCAACATTCTAATCACCCCTTTGCTGTTTATTTCAGAATTTAAAAAAATTAAGTTCTTAAACTTACATGAAACTTCTTTCGCTGAGGATTGAAGAAGAATCACCCAGTGGGATGAAACTTGTTGTTCTGAAGGTTCTTAATGTCCAAAAAGCAGTTAACAAACAATTTCCACAAGTGATTAAAAGAGGAAGTGGGCAAATCCAGTGTCTGTTTGAAGGCTCCAAACTGCGGTTTGGGCAAAGCTGACTTTTCCTCAGCTCCCAGAGCTCTAAAACCTGCCGAAGATGCTGTTTTATGGTCTCTTCACAGGAAGCCTCTGTATGGAGCACTCATGGGCGATCCCTGGTCCTCCCCTTTATCCAGAGAGGGATTTCAAGGTGCTGATCCATTCACTGGCCCCTTGTTCCGCTGCAGTCACAGCCCACCATTGCTTCCTCATGGTCGATGGTATTGAAGGCCACCATGAGATCAAATAGAACAAGGATGGATGCATTACCCCCATCCTGCTCCCACCAGAAGTTATCTAAATGCACAACCAATGCTGTTTCAGTCCCATACCCAAGCCTGAAATCTGACTGAAAGGCTTGATATTACCTGTCCAGGTAATCCATTTCATTCAGGATCCTCTCTGCACAACCACCTTCTCAACAATCTTCCCTAAAAAGGGAAGGTTGGATAATAGATTAAAATTGTCCAGCATGGTTAGGTCTACCAATGGCTTCTTGAGGAGGGGGTGGACCAAAGCCTCTTTAGGGGGTGGAGGAACCACCACCACTCCCTCAAAGAAGAATTTACCACTCCCAAAACCCAATTACACATCACCTCCCAGGAAGCCTCCACCAGCCAGGAGGGGAATGGGTCTAATAAACAGGTGACCAAGCTTACAGTCATGATGACCCTGTCCACTTCCTCAGATTCAAAGATTCAAACTCCTCCCAGATAGCATGGCTGGACTGTACCCCAAACACCTCCAGGGGACCTGTACCAAGACTGGCATCTAACTGGGAATGAATCTGAGCAATTTTGTGTGACAGATGCTCTGCAAAATTTTCCTTGAGGCCTTGTAGGTACACCCCTGGGTCTCCTCTATCCAAGAGGGCTCTAGTCACCTTAAACAGGGCCGCTGGGCAGCTATCCACAGATGTAATAAGGGTGGAGAACTACTGATGCTTCACTGCCCTTACCACCACATATTAGGCCATATTAGGTTAGTAGCAGCTCTAACCTGTGTTCGGTTGAGTTCACTCTTCATTGACCTCCAGCAGCGCTCCAGGCATCTCTTAACCCACTTCATCTCCCTCAACTCTTCCATAAACAATGGAGAGTAACAGGATCTGTGAGAAGAGAGAGGCTGCATGGGTGCAATCCTTTCCAAGGCCTCTGCCGCCCTCTTATTCAGGTAACAACCAAGGTCTCAGTCACACTGTGCAGCAAGCCATCAGGAACAAACCCCCTCCTCCCCTTGGAACCTATCCGGGTCCATCAGTCACCAGGGGCAGACCATTCAAATAGGTCCTGCCTCCCTATGGTGGGAAATAGTGCCAAAAAATCCCATGCTTATCAGGCGTGATCTGACCATGACAGGGGGACCACAGAGAGCTCCCCCAATTCCAGATCACATTGCTACTGCTCTGACAAGAAAACCAGATCAGGTGTGCGATTACTGCTCCATGCTGGGCCCTGGATGATCTGGGATAAGCCCATGGCTGTCTTGGAGGCATGAACTCCTGAGCAGCCTCAGACCCTATCCCCAGAGAAGGCAGATTGAAGTCTCCCAGGACCATGAGCCTGGGAAACTCCACTGCCAACCCAGAAATAGAGTCAAGGAGATCAGGCAGGGCAGTCACTATGCAGGAAGGAGGCTGGTACAGTACCAACAATCTCAACTGATCCCTAGAGCGCAACTTAATGAACAGGGTCTCAGGTACAGTAACTTGTGGAGCAGCGCCCCCCAAAACTGTTAGGGACTTCCAAATGACAATTGCCATTCCCCCACCCCTGCCCTAAGCTCTCAGCTGATGTCATGCCCAAAACCTGGCTGGGTACATTTCTGAAAGGGGCACCGCCTTCTGGACCCAGGCAGGTGTTGGTAGTACATGCCAGATCAGCCCTCTCATCCATGATCAAGTCACAGATGAGGGTGACCTTATTACAGACTGACCTGGTGTTAAGCACCAGCAGTTGAGACCCTGGGCCTCTGAAGTTCTGCTGACCTGGGCATGGGATAGAGCCCAAGTACCTGGAAAATGGCACAGAATAAGCAAGTTGCCTTCTCTTCATACCACATACAGATACCAACTAAACTGTTGCCTGAATCGACTTAATAGGGGTGATAGGACAGCATCTCCCACTGAATTTCAGACAGCATTTAGTTAACAGGCCTCAGGGAAAGGCCATGTGGCAGAAAGGTAGAAGCTTACATATTGGTGTGATTGCCTCACTTCCCGCCTACATTACTTCACTCTGCCAATACTGGCTCTAAGTTTGCTGACGTCTATTAAATACTATTACCTCAGGTCTCTAAAGATATCACAGTAAAAGTAACTATAAGCTGCTGTTAAAAGAAAATGTGTTTATAATTCCTCAATGATTTCACATGTATTTTATATTCTTTAAGATATAAAATACATAGGTTACAATCTTATGCAGGCTCAACCTCAGAAGAGGTTACATTATACTTTGCAAGGCTTAATTCTGAGTAAACAAGTATGGGATTATGCTAGCAAAGACAGATTGCTTGTACTGTAGTTCTCTCTTGTTTGTGATATAATTCAGTAATAAAATCTCAGAAATAGATGTTTTTGGTCCTCTTGCCTCAAACAAAATGTAAAGCTGGAAAAACATAGCTTCAAAGAGACATATCAAAACAGCATGCAAAGCAACAAGAAAAACTCAGCTACATCAATAATAAAGTATTTCCCAACTCTGAACATGAAAATAACCCAACACCATCATAATGAAAGATAACTAGACTATTAACAAAAGTAAAGTAGTGGTATAGCAATTAGGAATTAGTCCATTGATTCTTCTGAATAAAAACATCCAGGAAACATTTTCCATTGTTATAAATAACTCTGTCGGCTGTTTAAAATCTTTTACATCAACATATATTATAAAATATTTGGATCAAATATTAAATGAATATTCTCAAAGATGCAGGAGCACTTTCCTAACAGGATAGGAATTGCAGCATAGCGTGGGTACTGTTCAAACTAGCTGATTTAGACATATCAATGGGGAAGCTCCCATTAACATCCCCCTTCAATTGAGACTCTTGTCTTGCCCATCTTTTTATTAAACCCAATAACATTTCTATTTCTCCTGTTCTCCCATTCATTCTTCAGCTCTTTGGAAGATGCAGCATTTCCCAGCCCCAACCGCCAGCAAATTAGCACATTCCCCCACCTCGCATCCCCATTCCATTTTCAATGACTAAAACAAGGTATTATCATTCTTGACTGGATAATGAGGGGAATGAAAAGCACAAAACCTTTGGAAGTAAGGTAGGTGGGAAAAGATAAAAACAGTAATGGAATGCTACCACTGGAACTCATGTACCATTCAGAAGCCTAACTACTACTTCCACTTGCACCCATTTGTCCAAGTTAAACATTAAGCCATCAGTAATGGGACATTATTCCTTTTGCTCCCCCCAGGTGGATGGTTTGGGGTGGGGGGGGTGTAGGCTGGGCAGCAAGCGGCTTTTTAGTTTTCAAGCCTTCCAGCCACTCCCGCGCAGAGACACCCCACTCCCGAATTGAAAATCGAGGCGCCCTGCCTTTATTATTATTTCAGCCTCAGATCTCACCTCTACGGGGACTCCGTCCAGCTCCTGACCCTATTTCACCCTCTTCCCCGCCGTGGGTCCGCCCGGCCGCCTCTCGCTCAACCTGGTTTAGCCCAGCCGAGTCCCTGAAGGGAGCAGGGCACCTCCTGAGCCGCCGCCAACGGGCCTACGGGTCCTCCTTCTTCACTCCCAGCTCCCTCGACCCGATTCCCCGCCTGAAGGGCTGGCCGCTTCCTTCTCGCCCGCAGACGCTCACCTGAGGGCTCAGCGCGACCGCCCGGCTTTCCCGCCCATCCTTGCCGGCGAGCCCC